GGGGCCAGAACCTGACTGACTGACAACCTCCATGACCCGATAATCTTTTTTTCCTCTTTCCAGGTCCAGTACTTCCCGTTTGACTGGCAGAATTGCAGCATGGTGTTCCGATCGCAGACCTATGGGGCAGATGAGGTGATGCTGGTACACCCGAGGGACGCCCAGGGACGGGAGATTACTCAAGCTGTCATCTTTCTAAATACATTTGAGGGTGAGAGATTTGGGGAGCAGATTTTCGGCACTACGGTAATGCTATTTGCCCCCTATTTCTGGGTTATATGTCCTGCCAAGTCCCAGAGATGGCTAGTACTAGTTAGCCCCATTCAAATTGACTTTAACGATGTTTCATAGATTATCCGAACCACTTCTTCCGTTCTAATGAGTTTCAGGAACATATCCTAGAATTCTGATCTACACAGGTAGCAGAGTGACCCCAATCCAGTCACCTTGGACAGTACAGATGTTGATTGTCCAAGAACAGGTGGAAGTTGTGGAACCCCGTATCCTAGTTACATATTCTCTTCCTTGCTGTCAGGAAGTCTACATTACGTCTTAATCCTTTGAGTCACATAGCAGAAGATATGAACATCTCTACCCCTGGGGCTTTGACAATATACACTTTGAGACATGTGACTCAAACGATTAACACATGTACAGACACACCAAGGATGAGATTATGTAACTAGAACCTGGAGGGAGAGGGGATGGGGGTTCCACAACTTTCCTACCTCCAATCCTGATTTTGGAAATTAACATCTACATGTTGCACGGTGATTGGATTAAGGTGTGTGTGTGCTACCTATATCAATATGAGTCTTGGGGTGTGACCCCGATAAGAACAGAAGAAGTGGCTTGGATAGGCTATGAAACATCTTCCCCATTATAGAACAAGTCCAGTTGAATTTGACTAAGTACTACTAGCTATACCATGACCTGGATAAGGAGGAACCATCCAAATCAAGTCATAGAAATCTTCCATCCTCAGGTCCTTCACTATGGCTTGCTGGGTCTACTCGGAAATACTGTTGGTCCTTCTGGAATAATCCATTTTTTTTCTCTTGCAGAAAATGGCCAGTGGGAGATTCGGCACCGATCATCCCGCAAGAACACGATCCCAACGGACCCCCTCTATGAGGACATCACATTTTACTTGGTGATCCGAAGGAAGCCGTTATTCTACATTGTCAACATCATCATCCCCTGCATTCTTATTACCATCCTGGCCATCTTTGTCTTCTACCTTCCCCCGGACGCAGGTATTATTAGACTCAAAGCTCTCCAGTTGTAGGAAGCCCCCCTCCAAAAAAACAAAGATGCATGAGCAGTATGTTTATAGGAGTTCATACAAACAATCATAAACTAACTGACTTTGGAACCCTTATGGGACCTGGGAAGTATTTATCCAAAAGGGAACTTTCTACCCACGTGGGACAACAACTCTTCTAAATCCCCCGGACTATTGAAGGTCCAAATGCAGACTCAGAGTAAATAGTGGGCTAGTGGAGCTCAACCTTTAGCTGCCCTCCTTTCCTTTAAGCTGAGCTGATCTACTGGTACTAGGTTGCCCCCAGGACTTATTACACAAAGCTGTATACTACGGCTGTAGAATGTCGCAAGAAGGCCCAAGGTAGGTAAAGGGAAGACGCACCATGCAGCGATAGAGATATATAAGATGGCAGGCAGTCTGGTGGATGGGTGGATGAGGAGGAGCTAGGACAGGGAGTAGACAATGACTGTAATTTGTAATTGTAACAAAAGTCAGGACAAGCGGCAGACAGTAGGCACAATCCATGAGTGTAGCAAAGGTCAGGACAAGCGGCAGACAGTAGGCACAATCCATGAGTGTAGCAAAGGTCAGGGCAAGCGGCAGACAGTAGGCACAATCCATGAGTGTAGCAAAGGTCAGGACAAGCGGCAGACAGTAAGCACAATCCATGAGTGTAGCAAAGGTCAGGGCAAGCGGCAGACAGTAGGCACAATCCATGAGTGTAGCAAAGGTCATGGCAGGCAGCAGACAACAGGCATAATCCATGAGTGTAGCAAAGGTCATGGCAGGCAGCAAACAACAGGCACAATACATGAGTGTAGCAAAGGTCATGGCAGGCAGCAGACAACAGGCATAATCCATGAGTGTAGCAAAGGTCAGGGCAAGCGGCAGACAGTAGGCACAATCCATGAGTGTAGCAAAGGTCATGGCAGGCAGCAGACAACAGGCATAATCCATGAGTGTAGCAAAGATCAGGGCAAGCGGCAGACAGTAGGCACAATCCATGAGTGTAGCAAAGGTCAGGACAAGCGGCAGACAGTAGGCACAATCCATGAGTGTAGCAAAGGTCAGGGCAAGCGGCAGACAGTAGGCACAATCCATGAGTGTAGCAAAGGTCAGGACAAGCGGCAGACAGTAGGCACAATCCATGAGTGTAGCAAAGGTCATGGCAGGCAGCAGACAACAGGCATAATCCATGAGTGTAGCAAAGGTCAGTAACATTATTAAGCAGACACATCAGACAAAGTTGGTCACCAGGAGCTCTATCAAAAACACAGAGGCACATCCTGATGAGGTTTAAATAGGGCACCTCCTGCTCCAGAGGCCAGTACCAGACCTGGGGGTGTGCGCCAAGTCTCCTTGCCTGGCAACTGACAAGGGAACCAGAGAAAAGACAGGGTTTCAGTGACTAGGCACTTGGAGGTGTTGGGAGGCTGAGTCCTATTGCCCACCAACTAGAACGTAAACTGGCGCAGTGAGGAGAGATGCTGAGTCCCACTGGAAGGGCGACATGGATGCAAGCTGGTGATAGAAGGAGAGACACTCCAATGCCCCGGCAGAGAGGATGCAATGGAAGAAGACAGCATGGACCAGACAGTAGACTTGTGCGCCGTCAAAAAATTTGTTCCGTTTCGTTTCGTTCCGTTTCGTAATATCCCTTATTTTGTATTTCGTAATTCGTGTCCGAAACTCAATTCGGATTCGTACGAAATACGTATTTTCGTTAGTTTCGGCACATTTTCGTAACTTTACGAACATTCGTTATGATGAAGTTAAAAAGCAAAAATACCTTTGTTAATATTGGAGTCGATGTGGTAGTTGTTTTTTTATCCGAAATACGAATTCCGTTAACGGATTCCGGATCCGAATTTCGTATTTAAAAAAACCTTCCATCAACTCCAATATAAATGTACTTTGCTTTTTACCTTCAATATAACGGATGTTCGTAACGGAACGAAAATACGGCAACGGAATTTCGTATTTCCTGCCTGTGTATTGTGATGCGACCCTCAGCGGCAGCGGATCCGAATCTCGGATTTAAAAAAAATCTTGTCATGTTGTTCAACCTCATTTACAGGGGTAATATTAGTTCCCGTTTCAAAGGAATTCGGATCCGAATTTCGTATTCCGGATATAAATTCGGAAACTGCCATTCGGATTTCGGATGCTTCCGAATTTACGAATGTCAGGAAAATTCGTACGAATTTCGATTCGTAACGAAACGAATCGCACATGTCTACCAGACAGATAAGTAGGTGAGCTGCCTTATAACTAGTACTAGTTAGTTACATTCATCTAGACTTGTTCTGTAATGTTGAAAACATTTTACTGCTCATCCAAGTAACTGAGCTGAAGACGCTTCTTGGATGAGCAGCAAAACACCTTCAACACTACATAACAAGTCTAGATGAATGTGGTTACTACTAGGTATACCATGACCCGGAGAACCTTGACAGACATATCACCCAAACCCTTCATCCACGCAACACAACGCATGTTCCTAATGATCTCTTCCTCTTCTAACTCTCTTTCTCTTCCTTCAGGTGAGAAGATGACGCTTTCCATCTTTGCTCTTCTCACACTTACTGTCTTCTTGCTGCTTCTGGCTGACAAAGTCCCAGAAACCTCGTTGAAGGTCCCCATCATTGTCAACTATCTCATGTTTACCGTGGTCCTGGTCACCTTTTCTGTCATCCTGAGTGTAGTGGTCCTGAATCTCCACCATCGATCACCCAACACCCATCACATGCCCCAGTGGGTGCGGCAGGTATTGCCCCGTCTGTCTGTCCTTGAGAGTGTATTCACCTACCTTACTCCATAGCCCTGGAGACTCTGACACTTCCTAAAGTTGATGGGTTCATACACTGAGTGGCCGGATTATTATGACCCCCCATCAGTACTTGGTTGGGCCGCCTGGTGACTCCACGAGATGATGAAAGGTGATGCGAGGAATCTGACACGGCACTGTTGCCCTTCTGTTGTCTTGTACCAGTCTTGCCCCTCCCCCGTTCTGCCCTAACATTGACTAGTCGCTGACGGCCACAATTCGCACGCTCAGACCCAGATTTTCGGCTGACAGTCCGGTCTTTAAACACTTTAACAATGAGCCGCTCCTGAACATGTAACGAATTCTGCTGTTTTGCTGATACTCGCTCCATGGCTCCGAGCGCCAACAATCATCCCGCGTTCCAAGGCTGTTACATCGCGTTGTTTCCCCGAATCTTCCCAATCACTTCTACTGTCGTGGTAACCAACCCGCTTCCCTATTTATAATGGTCTGGCCCTCTAGCAACTTCAGCGCCAAATTATAGCTAATGTGCCTACAAACGTCAGGTGGTTATAATAATCCGGCCACTCAGTGTATATAATAATCCGGCCACTCGGTGTAGTTAAAGTGTAAGTTCACCCAAAAGTGATATTTTAGCAGTGGGTTGAGCCTGGTGGGGTGAGCCAACCCCATAGGTTGCTACATAATGTGAACACTCCAGCAGCAATATCTCTGCTATAATGTCTGGATCGGTTATTGTCCACCTGTGGGTTGTAGGAGTTCCATCCCACCTCTCCGTGTCCCATCTCCTCCCGTTGTTTCCTTCGTAATATAAAGCCAGCATTGATGATGGGAACCCCTCACAGTGACCACAGCAAGAGGGAAGAAATTTAAAGGAGAACTCCGGGGTCAGTGTTTTTCCCCGTAGTTCTCCTTAGGGATACAAACTAGCGTCCTCCCGTCACCCTAAGCTCAGTATATAGGGAGCTGCAGCTCGCGCTATACTGAGACGCCGCAGCCGGAGCGGATCCCGACTTAGATGACGAGATCCGACCCAGCTGCGTGAGTGACAGCTGGCTCTGCCTATCTAGAGGCTGTACCCGCCCCCTCCCCCGTCCGTTCCGCCAGTCAGCGCTGGCGGATCGGAGCGGGGAGGGGGGAATCCAGCCCCTCCCCTGTCACGGCAGAGAGCCGGCACAGGATCGAGAGGTGAGCGAACCTGGTATGTGTTCTCACCTCCCGATCTACTGAGCCGACCTGTGACAGTCTCATTGTCACAGGTCGGCTAGAACTATGAGGTGAGTGAAAAGCCCCCCCTCCCCCACCTCATAGTTCTCCTTTAACAAAAAGAATCCTTTCGCGACAGAGGAATTGCCAGAAGCATAATATCCTCCCCCAATATTCTCCTTCAGATAACTGGAAAGATTAGGAATTTGTTTTGTTTACTTTTCTAGTTCCTCGGTTGATCACTTACTCTTTTTTTGTCGTTTTGTTTTTCCCGTTTCTCGGATGACATCTCCGGAAATTTCCTCGTAACTGCGTTGCAGATTTTTATCCTTCACCTGCCCCGCTATCTCATGATCAGCCGTCCAAAACCCGAGCCTCCTCTACCGGTTGAAGCGCCGTCCCGCCAGGCCCCGGCCCCGCGACATGCTGACGAGTACTTCATACGCAGGCCGGAGAACGACTTCCTCTTCCCCAAACCTGACAGGTGGGTGCTGTTCATTACCCCCGGGCCTATTCATAAAGAAGAGTGAAATACAATCAGACTAAAATGTAAATAGTGTGTAGCCCCTCCCCCCCACCTGGGCAGTGAAGGATGACCCCCAAGGCAGGCCAGCATTGACTGTAATATCT